TCCAATGAACTGAAGCGAAAGCACAGCAATGTAGTAAAGTAAGCTTTCCACCCTCGCTATCCTGCTCTGCACAAACAATGAAATTGCTCAGGAAACACATGTTTCAGAACCACGATCAAATGCGATTCTAGAAGCGAAATCCTTCGACGTGTTTCAACAGGCAAGTTATATAGGAACAGTTGCGCCCCCACTTCTTGGATATAGTATTCCAATGTTTTGATTCTGCTCCACCGACCCTTCCATTGTATTTGTGCAATGTTCGAAGTTTCTAGATACTCATGGGTAGCACCGCTCCCGCGCAACACTCCAGGCGTAGCCCCCCTATCAGCTTGTCGCCTAGGAATTCCCAGATGATCACACAGCCCATTCCATTGTCGTCTGAATACCGCGGTTGACGCCGGAAACAATTTTGAAGACAAAGGAAGTGAACCGAAGATACAACGTACCAAGAAAATCAAACTGACATCGTCTATACGTGCGTGTTGCCTCCTGGCAAAACGTGCCGTTTTGGGGTTTTTGATGTAGATGTATAGAAAAGGCTGCTGTGTCAAAGCATCTTCTGGAAAAATTAGATCTCGCCTCGTGAGTCCCAACAATTCGCTTGGGTGGAGCGTTCCACCGAAGCCCAATGCGATTGAGCCTGCAAAAGAAAACCAGTTCCAAATCAAGGCGACCGTCAGCAAGGCTCGCAGGATTGGGGCAGACAGAACAGCCCTGCATTGTCCGGGCTCTTCATTTTGCCACTTCATATCAATCTGCCAAGCCCCCGCAAGTTGCCTACGAAACTCTGGAAAGATCTGCTGAATGGCCGTGATCGCATAGACCAGGAGATACCTTGGTTTACCTTCCCGAAAAAGAGCTAGCCCGTAAGCTCGCAAAGCCAAGTTCATCGCGTCAGCAGTTGCACTCACATCCTCAAAACTCAAAGCTTGTTCAAGAAGCCAACACTTAAAGCTGTCCAAACATTTCTTCATCCGTGAAGTGGTCGCAGTTGCAAACCCGCCCAACAAGTTGAGTTCGCCGCGGGGCACATAGTTTGAACCAGCCAGGTTGTTCAACGGAGGTCCGGGATTCTGTTCGATATCCCCGGCAAGTAAGAGCAACAGCCTGATCCAGCGTCCGACAGGACGCGTCCACTTGGCAGTGACCAGTACTTGGTCAAACAAGCGAGCATCACCATCACGCAAAGCGCAAAGCCAGTCTGGAATCGGTCTGGAGGGACCTGGCACGACACCATCCCTCGATGGACCGTCTGCTCGATTCCAAGAGGATCGGCAATGGAGTGCGCCTGGGTATAAGCAGCCTCCAACGATGTAACCGAGGGAAGTTCTCAATATTCGACTGAGAGCTTTGGATGAACTCCTCCCCTTGGCTGCTGCACCCATCGTAACCCTGCTATCCAAAAAACTGACAATACGACATCGTGGATGCTTCTTGCTGCAATGCTTTAGCCAACTCTTATACACCCTGCATTCAAGACAGTTGATGTGTCCACCACGTTTGAACTTGTAACGGAACAATTCTTTGAACGGCAAGCTTTCACAAATGTCTTCGACCCAGAGTGGGTCGTCACACCATTCACGCACAAAAGAAGGTCCTTCATCACCTTCCGGATCATCAGCAGTCGTCCAAAAACCCCGACTCGTCTGCTGAGGTCTGATGCCGCCTTTCAAGGCCGCAGAACTGCCACTAGCCATGACCTGGCAAAGAGGAATGGGGTATGATGCTGAAAACCGGCTTACTGCTTCGCCCGGCATGGGCTGCCGACCGTACACGGTCAACGTGTCCGGATTGCATCTGTGGTCGAACTGTCTGATGGAGGATCTAGTGAAGGTTCCCTGTACGGTGAAATGATTATTCTTATATCTGCATCTGCACTTGCCTGCTAAAGAATCATACCAAGGCTTGTTGTGTAGCCACTTACTGGGTTTCATAAACCCTGTCCCAAAGCTGCAGAAACAAAATTTGGTGATCCGGCACCCCAGAGTTAGCAATCGTTGAAAAGCGGCAAGCAAAAACATTACTGAACCACCTGGCTGTTCTGCTGAAACAAACGAACCACTGAGGCAAGCTAATGTCAACAGAAAGGCTGTCCTAATAGCCAGCAACGTTTGCTCACGTGTAGGTCCATCGGTCATGTCAAAACCAGCGGGTTTGTCCTTTGAACGCAACCTAGGCCGGCGCAATGTACCGAATGACCAACAGGGTGGACCAGCGTGCCATTCTCTGATAGCACCATGGTATGCAAGGTATGCCAACTCTCGAAAGGTGTTGTTATCGCTCAAGTCACCAAAAAACTTTCCCGTGGCTGATCTCTCAATGCCCGGGTGCACCTGAAGTCCTGCCGCTGCATGGCATCTGCTCCAGTTCCCCTGTCCCGAGAAAAGTTCGATACAGTCACTGACTAGGGTGTGATCTTGCAGCACACTCTTCCGCAAACTCACCAACTCAGGCTGTGCATATGGAGAAGAGGAGAACAGGGACTGCCGCTCTTCATTTCCAAAGAACTCTGCATGCTCAATACCTAACTCGCGCAATGTTGCACCTGAATCTGACTGCAAACGAGTGTAAAAACCCTTTTGCTCAGTGTGCCTCCACAATTCCTCCGCTCCAAAGGTAGAGAATGCAGCATGGCACACGCCCCCGCCGTAAGGTGAAGCATCCAACATATATAGTTCTGATGCAACTTCTGCTCTTAAGTCAGTTTGCATAGCAGGGGCCAAAAGGCACAACAACATGAGTTCAGTTCGGCAAGAGTCGGAAATTCTGAACAGCACATCCCCGTTCAAAGTTTCCCCTTCATGATAAACAGCGTCTAAGATTGAAAAGATGGGTCTGCGAAAAAGAAGTGCGTGAGTCCAACACCCTATCAGTCCTTGTAAAAGTTTTCGGGTGGCCAGCCTCTTATGGATGACAATGCTTGTGATGAAGCTCAACAATGCAACGCGCTCCCGCGGCGCTGAACAGCGGCCAACACGGCCATCGATTTCCGCTCCTAACACAACTGCATGCTCATCTCTCCGACGCATCTTACCAGGGTGTGCTGTGAGGTTCACATGGTTATACGCTTCGTTTGCTGCTTTGAAAACCTGGAGGTCACGGCTATGAAGTTCTGGTAGGGAACCATCCTTCTTGACTCTCTGAAGCCCAATGTGATCGTCGATGGTCAAGAGTTCAAAAAAGGGGCCTCTTGGAACTGGTTGCCTGTACAACAAACATTCGTGAAGCTGCATGCAAGACGCCAAATTGCGAAGAACATTGACATGACTCTGTTGGGCAATTTCAACCGCAAGCGCGTCTCCCATTGCAAGGGTGCTTAAACACACATAGACCTCCTTGTCATGGAGTGCTGGAGAATAGCAACTGAACCCTGCAAAATCTGAACCTTTGAATCGCACACCAATGGCGTTGCGCCGTGCCCGCGAGGGGCTCACTTTGAAGGTGTAATAAAATTCACATAAATCATCTGACGACACCAACAAATTTTCATCTTGAGGAATCCTGACCAAACTCATCAAGTACCCCGGGGCAATGGTTTTTGCGAAGGAGGCATAGGAAAAGCTCCGGCTGTTCACTACCGTTGGGTTCAAAATAAGTCTGTCATATTCTGAATCTTTGGGCACCGCAAATAAACCAACTGCTTCAGCCGATTGAACCATCTCACAAGCCACCAAGCTGCAAGCGTGGAGTGCATCCCATTTTTCAGCAAGCTGCCAGATCTGGTCTCGATCTGCATGAACTTTGGCTTTTGGCAAACGTGGCCAGTCCCGCTCCGGACGTCGAAGCACGTTCGGGTCTGCAAAAGCTCTTTTCACAATGGGGTCTGTGAGATAGGGAGTTGGGTCAAATGCTGGAGCAAGCTTCCACTTAATTCTGTTCGCAACAACTGGCATTGCTGCACAAGAACTAGAAGCGACCCGAGTCTCTGGTTCCACGGCCGTGGCCTTGTCTTTGCTGTACGTGCCCGGCTGAGGCTCATACGCTTGAGCTGCTCTTTGTCGGTTCCGTGAGTAGGGTTCAAACGAGTTTTGAATGCTTTGCAAAAAACTACTTAGGTCCTCAACAGAAAACACATCCGAGGGGTCCTTCAGCTTAAAAGCTAATTGAGCTAATTTAGTCAGCTTCTCCCCAGCCCGGCCTAAACTGTCTAAGGCGGCAGTCGGAGCACCCAGGTAGTATTCGACCAGGTTCTCAAGCCGCTCAACCATAGCAAGCTGCTGTGCGCTCATGGGATAACCTGCTCTGGCGTAGACGGGAGGTGAGTGGGCATGACCCAACGTCAACCAGTTTAAGGCCAACACCAGCTGCTGGACACATAGAGCCTTCGTCTCCAGCAAACGATGGCGCTTCCGGCGCCGAGGTGAAAGCGACTGCATAGGTGTCCATCGCCGCCATCGAGGCGGGGGACACGGCCATAGGTCCGAGCGTGGAGCCACCGGACCTTCATCATCGATGCGGAACTCTGTCACGCTTCTCCCCACGAACCTGCGAAAGGCTCCAGGAAGAGTAGACACTTTCAAAACTGCGCGCACAAGCTCGGTGCACTGAATTGTGGTTGGAATCTGAGCACCCTTGAGGTCACAGTCCACAGCCTGAGGGAAAGTCGTCTCAGCCGTGAGATGCCCATCATCCGTTTCTTGACTGCTTCCTGCCACATGCTCCTCAGCGAATTCCACAGACCCCCCCCGACCGCAAAAGACAGTAGGGATACAATCCCCCCGTCCAGAGGAAGTAGAACGCAGCAAAGGAGGATCTGCGGGACGCTGAGAGCTGGCAGTTTCGTTATTCATCAACTTTCCTGCGCCCCCCCTGGGGCATCGCCCTTTTGCTTGGCCTTCTTCTTTTTCCATGCCTGCTTCTTCGTGGTGGAGTCTTCTTCGCCCTCTGCTTTGGTGGGAGTGTTCAGCGCACTGGAATTGGCGTTTTTGATGCACCCATCCAGATAATCCAGGTCCTTCATGTAGGACACATTTGCTGCTATCCATGAAGCTTGGGCGAGTCGAGTGAATGGACTCATGGAATTCCGAGTCCGATTCCTTTGCGTGATCGAGTATTGAGGCTCCGGCAGGGAGGTCAACAACCAAGCCAGGTTTGTACGACCAAAATCTGTTGCGGCCTGGTCCACGAAGAGCATTCCTCGAGAGGCATGACCGATGAGGTCGTGGTTCCCGGTCCGGAACCCGTGCTCCCATGCAGCTGCGAACAGATATCCGATCTGGGTCAGCAGGCGTTGATCGCCTAAAGGAACACGCTTTTCCAAATACTCTCTCATCAGCCCTGAACCCACCTGGTGAGGATCCAAGCCCAACTCCGTGGCAGCGTTCACCTGGACGATGTTTCCCACCTTGGCGACATCGCCGGCAAGCTTCACATAAGCATCGCGGGCGAGGCATCCTTTGATGCCGGAGCCTCCCCCACTTGTCTCTGAACCGCCCAGAGCGGCGTGAAGAGGGTCCACACGCTTCTCTTGCTGTTGTTTGGACAGTATTTGGAGTTGCTTCATCTGCATCAACAACATCCTCTGCAGTGGATCGACCACCGCAGCCTCCAACTCTTGAAGCCCTTCTTCCACTTCTGGAGCCCCCACCGCCTCGAGGTTCTCTTCCTGTTGCAGTGTTTCCAGGAAGTGGCCAGGCTGCGCTTCTCTCACGGCTCTCTCGTGCGCCCCAAGGCGCGGAGGCGGAGTGCCAGCTAGTTGTCGAAGCGTAGCCATAGTCTGCACCTGGGTGCGCCGATTGGGAACTGCATTGAACAAAATTCCTCGAGGAGGTGTTTCTGGAGTCATGGATGATGTTGCAGCCTGAGTCGGCCGACCCACAGGTTGCTGCGACAGAAGAGCCTCCAGCTCTTGAACTCGCCTTTGCAACCCTTCCACAACATCCGGAGGTTCTTCTTCCTCTTCGACGGGCCCCCCATCTACGGTGACATAGTCCGCAGCGGTGTCTTCGTCCATGGTTTCGTGGATCCACTGATCTGCGGCTGTCTCGAGGCTGCCACGGTTGGGACGAGCCGGCTGCTCTCCCACCTGAAACTTCAACACTTCTACCATGGAAGGAGCTCGCAGAGGGCTTCCCCGCATGAACAGAGTGGCTAAGGGCCAAATCAAGTCTGCAAGGAGGATGCTTGCTTCCTCTAGTGCTCTGCCTCTGGGTGTTTCCATCATCACATTGGCGGCGAACAAAGCAGCCGCCGCTTCCATGCCAGCCTCCGTCTCCTGAGCCTGCAGGAAATGGGCTGCTTCTTCTATATCCGGTAGTGCCACCATGAATCCACCGGAGCGCAGCCTGATGAGGAAAGCAGCAACTCTGACGGCCATGCCATCTTCTCGATTGGGAAGGCATAGAAAAAGCGAAGGAAGTGGACCTGTTGGCCCACAGGCCCCCAAGAGGGCCCTGATGCTCTCTTCACTCAGCGCCTGCGCTGCAGCAGCGCGGGCCACGCCACACCTGCCCCAACACAGTAGGCCTCTGCTTCACTTCGGGACGGGAATGCGTGTGAGATCACGTCCCCGTGGAACCTGGTCGTAGCACCCCGGACTTCCTCCAGGTAGGTCTGATAGTGATCAGTCCCAACCCGGCTCACGATCAGGCCGAGGGCGAATGATCACGTAGATGCGATTGTCCAAGGGCAAGTCGGCTCCAGCTGGATGAGAGGCAGTTCGATGCTCGAGGCGACCACGGGCAATCAAGCCAGCTCTCAGGGCCCTGCCTAGCCGCGCTAGAGGCGACCAGCCACCGCCTGCAGATCTCAGGCGGCCAGCTAATCCTTGCACCGGCACTAGGCAAATCCTCTCGAACTCAATGGGGGTTCGAGCTGCCAACAAAGCTGACTCCCACTCCCAAGTCCACGGTTCAGCGTCCGAGATGAAAGGATCACCTGGGTCAACCAAAACTCGCAAAACGCTGGGGTCTGCTGTGCTAGTGCCCTCCACGGGGCGATCAAGTGCACCTTGGAGAGAGGGGGACTCTGTGATGACGGTGAATGAAGACTCACTCTCAGGGGCGACCACAGCAGAACCAGAAGCCTCAGAAGATCGACGTCTAGGGCTGCGAGTGATCGAAATCGATAACTCTCCAAGCCGCACGGTCACGGAGTCCAGTTCACCAGGCTGGCTCATGCACCGTCCCGGTACTCGCTCAGCCTTCGACGGAGCGCCTGAGGCGGAGCTGTCACCACCACAGCAGGAGTGGTCAAGGCCACTAGACCCAGGAAAACCTGTCGAAGTACCCTCCTGAAGGTATTGGAGACCACCAGTAAGGTTGCAAAAGCACCGCAGCAGCAACCAACAGCACAGCCAGCTAGGATGGCCAGGATCAAGAAAGAAAAGCCGAGCCCAGTGCAGGGAGTCGACGAGGTGCTCGGCCACGCCCACCGCAGCTCACGCGCAAGATCAAGCACGTGAGGCCAAAAGGACATGCACAGGCGAAGGCTTGAGCCAAGAAACTTGAGATGGAATCAGCTCAGCTATGTGATAGACAAGCATATATATACAAATACATACAGTATATAATTCAATGAATTCGTCTTTAAGCAAATGTTCTGCCGGGACCTATTTGGACGGTTCTTTTGGGAGCCTTTTTGCCCCGCCTCTTTGGCTTCCTTCACCTTCACCTTCTCCGGTGAGGCCGGTAGCGTCACTTCTCCCATGCTGCCCAGCTGATTTCGCAGGCATCCGACGGGCACGGGTCACCGGAACCAAACGCTTCGAAATCAACGGCTCAGTTCGAAAGGCAAACAAAGCAAACCATAATATGAGAGTGTATATATAGATATATATATATATATATGAAAGTAGCCAATACTTCTCACACCACACAAGCAATGTCCACATCCCTATGCTTGGATCCAAATTGTTGGCTGTGTACTTTACAAGCGCAAGACTAAAAAACTTGGCTGCAGCAAAGTTCGAAACCACAGCTGCTCCTCAGCCAAATTCCCAAAGGAATCCCAGCCAGTGTTCAGCCAAATCAGGGAGGAGAAAAAGAGGTTCCAGTCCTGTCTCACAACAAGGCTTGGTCCGTCTGATCCTACTGTATCACTTGCCTTCGCCACACGTGTTGGCAGCGTAATTCTCGCAGTATGGTCGTACTGTCTGCGTTAAAGTTGAAGCAGGAGGTTGGAAAAAAGGAAATCCTCGATGTGGGCGACGGTGATCATGCTGGGCTGTTGCCAAACAAACTCAATTATATAACCCTGTTGCCGCTCAAGCCAATAATCAGCGCTTTGTCTTCGCATGATCCGGGGTCAAGTGGGCGTCATGCCAACTTCTCATCAACATGAATGCCGGTTTCACCATCTTCCGACTTTGGACCACTCGGAAGGTCGTTTCGCGCCCCACCTTCGAAGGCTGTGTCACCGTCGCGCCGGACCAAAAATTGGTGCCCAGGAGACTAGGAACCGACCAGCGGAGGCCCAGCAAGAAAGGCAGCCTGGGACCGGAGCAAATGGACAAATGCTTAGACTGACTCAAGTACCCAATTCTTTAGACCAGTGCAAGCCGAAGCCAAAAGCCTTTCTAAATCCCATCTATACAAAAAGATCCTTTCATCTATATAACACACCCACCAACACACTCTTCAACCCCACAGAATCACAACTGATAGAACACTGTTCAGGCAGGGGTGGCCAATTTGCACTGCTCCAAATGACCAAGTAGAACACTTAATCAGACAAGTGAGGCGGGGTCGCCAACTAGGCGGTCTGTTTCGAGCTGCGACCCACCGAGAGCGCTGCTGGGTCACCAGTGACGCTCGTTTGACTCGGAAAAAGCCGCCCGTGGTTCTTCCGGGCCCTTTCCTACCAGGAGAGTCTTTCCCTTCAGTCGGCCCTTTTCTTCATATTCTCTTCTTTCCAGGTCAAAGAGGATGCCGAAGATGTCATGCTGATTCTGTCCAAGCAGCAGTACAAGGGCTAGCACGCCCATGAAGACCTCTGCTGCCATCTCAACCGCCAGCAGGTTCACGCACAACCCCACAGATATAGCCAGCAGGGGCGCGATGGCAGGTAGACCGGAATGAACCTAGCACGTGTAGTGTAGTCGCCCAAATTACATCCGGCAATACCTTTGGTAGGCATGAAATAGGAGGCGCTAGTTACCAATTCGCTGGTTGACAGTCTCCAACAACGATGAAGCACTACAGTCATCTGCTCTCTAAGAAATTGAAATTCAAGCAAAATATGTCTTGGTTCAAGCAAAATCAAATGCTTGGTCCATGTTACTCCAACCGGCTGAGGGTCACACGCAACACAGGTTTCATCATGTCATCGTGCCTCGTATCCAGCCGATTCGGCATAGCCCACAATCACCGTGGTGTAAGTCGCAAGGTCAACGATTTGATACCTTCAAGTAACAGAGTGCGCTGGATTGCAACCGATGACAACCGATCGCACGATTTGAAAGCACTTATGACGCCATGGTGAGTTGCTTTGGACCAATGACAACTGATGGGACGAGTTTGTAAAAATCCGTATTTACGATGGTTGCCCGCCCTGTAACGAGTCTCCATCCCACGCTCGTTCTGCTTCGCCCAGGTGCAGGAGCATGTTCAGCCCGATACACTCGCCCGCTTTGCCGCCAAAGGCGCGGGAGATCCAGGTGACTACACCTGGACCGGAGGAGCCAGAGCATCCCCCGAGCAAACACAGTCTCTTCCCAGTATCCTCAACTAAATAGATCCAGCAAAGCAACAAACTTGTCGCTGAACGAAGGACTTTCGGCCCGGCGCTGTGTTCGTTTTGCTCAAATCCGCCTCTGTTGCTCAAAGGTGGCATCATCGAGAGCTCGCAAGTCATGAAGATCTGCGGTAGCACGTAGCCTGCGAGCAGCTCGCAGAAAAAGCCGCGGCCCAGCAAACCATCATCAAGAAGGTGATGAAATGGTTTTGGTTCTCTACCGGGTACCGAGATGCTGGAAAGCCTGACCAAGTCTAGACCTTCCAAGCTCCAAAAAGACCTGAGGAACCAACCTGCTTTGCGCTGGAACGTCTGCCTGTCTCCAGCTTTCGAGACAGCCACCTACTGCCTCCCGAAGAGGCCAGCTCGGTCACCGGGTGGGAATCCACGAAGTTTAGCCGGCCTAGCATGGTCACGAACAAGCCCAGGAAGAAGGCCGGGGCACCAAAGCAGCGCACGGCTGCCTGCGTTTGCTGAAGCGAATGAAGACCCAGGGGCCCCGCCCAGGACGATCACCTCATCACCAGAAGACCCAGAAGAAAGCACGACGTCAGCGACGCACAACGGCAAACGAGGAGGGCTCAAATGACTCCCTCTGTTCAAACACAATCAACCCATCTTTCGTTGAGTGCAAAGAGCACGTTCAAAGCAACCCTCAGTCGAGGCAGTCTGGTGAGTCTGGTGCTTGGGTTCGTTCCGAGTCGACACCCACACCGACTGTCCGACGGTCCGCGCACGGCCCGCGTAGTAGCGGCCCGCTGCACCGCGCTCCTCGACGCCGAAGGGCCCCGCGCAGGTCATCGCAAAGGCCAGGGAGGCCACGTGCCTCGCGGATCGCCGGAGGCAAACCGCTCGCGGGCGGGTGAACCGCGGCCAACAGGGACGAAGAACGGCACAGACGAAGATGTCTGCCAACAGGGACGAACAGAGCAACAAGGCTCTTGGTTTTCCTTTCGCATCGGAGTCTGACGTATAGAGTATAGAGCATGAAAAAGAGCTGCATACATTCAAGTGTTTCGCCAACATAGAAATTTAAATCCACAGCTTCCTATTGATGCCCAATAAAGATTGGCTCTGTTGCTTCCACTCCGGCCTGGTGTGCAGCTTCCCTTCCCGCGACATGGCGCCCGAGATCTCCCCACAGGGTTCAGAAGCACCAAAACACTTCCAATGGAGTCTGATGGTATGTTGGCTGAGGTGTTCCTGGGCCGACCCAAGAAAGCACCAAGGGCTATGTCGCCCGACCAGTTGGGGATTCTCCTTCTGTCGTGTCATTCCTGGGCCAAAATCAGCCGGATCAAGTGAGTTCGACTCGCTCACGAGATGTCTTCAAGACAAGACAAGTAGACCCTGAAGCAAGATCTAATCTAGTCGTCTCAGACTGGCTGAAGTGAGTGAAAAGACAGCTGGCTGGTGCCATTCACCTGAAAAATGATAATTCCTTTTCAACTCTCGAAAATGAATGGAAGTGGAACATGGTCCGTTGGATGACCCTTCAACCATTCTCCTCTCCAAACCAAATCAAACAAGTGCTGGTCCATGGTGTTCCACTTCCATGTTCACGACTCGGAGTGTAGGTCGCTGGTGGCCAGTCTCCGGCCACTCCTTTTTTGGGACGAGAACTCGCTGGACCCACCGGTGGGATCTTCCAGGCCGGTCCAGGTCACCCGACGCAAACCCTTGAGTCCTCAAACCTGTCGCTATCCAATTCATCTGTCACTGAGCCATTAGAGCAATGGCCCGAATCTCCGCATCCACCGCATCCACCGCAGCGGCGGCGCCGGCCGCGCCGCAGGCGAGCGAGCGCGGGCGGGCGCGGGCGGCGGGGTCGCCGGGCGGGGTGCTCTCCACTCAGCGGCGCTTTGGCCCGGCGGCCGCCTTCGGAATGTTCCGCTTCTTCTTCTTTCCTCAGCGGTCAGGTCGCGGTCGATCGGGGTCGATCAGGTCGCCAAGGTCCACTTTTGGGGTGAGACGTCAGGGTCCGGTTTCAACGCAGGTTCTCGTTGCCGCCGTGCATCTCAGCACATAGGTCTCAAAATAGGGATACCTGCAAGATCTGGAGTCTGGAGGATCAACCATGAGAACAGTCTGGAGGATCAACCATGACTACCTTCTGATCGTTTCCCAAGTCTGACGCCCAGTGGCATGTAATCCGCAGCAATGTAACATAAGAGTAGGAGAATCCTTAGCGGCCAAACTGACGCTAGGCTATGACGAATAGCCTTTCCAACCTCCCAGGCCTCTCCCGCAAAGAAACAGCCCTGCTAAGCTGCTTTCTGCCAGGGCTCAATCCAACAAAGGCCTCAAAACAAGGGAAACAAGACTTGAAACTCCCATGCAACACTCACACTCTTAAAGGGGCTTGTTTTTTGCCTCGCAGCGCCCAAGCTTTTGACAGAAAACAGTTCGTGTTTTGCCAACAGCGCCGCAAAGAAAGAACAGTCCCACACAATACGTTCATGGCATGAACCAACCTTTTCTCCTCCAAAACCACCAACAAGACATCTTTACCCCCAGACCCTTGTCTCTAGGCCAACTGCCATCTCCGACCAGCTGACCTGAGGCGGGGTTTTGCTTGGACTCCACTTGGACCAGAAAAATGTCGAGTTGTAGAGTAGCCCGAGTCCATGTGTTTTTTGTAGCTACATGTCTATCATTGACCATGTCTACATGACACCGCGCTTGACAGTGTCTGCCATGAATATACAAAAGAGGACTTCATGGCAAAACGATCATTTTGATTCTGAGGATTGTGTAATCTGTGAGTGGTTGATCTCAAGCAAATGCAGTAAGCTTGAAGCTTTGAGCATAGCCTAACTAGCGATTGCAATGACTTGAAAGAAACACCTCACACCCAAAGACAAGAGAGTTCAAAGCCGTCTGCATGAAAATTGGAAACCACTCAATTAACTGGCAAAAACAGCCAAAGGCAACCAAAGCCGGAGCCAGTCCTCAGGAGCCTCTGAAGGGGGAAAGCAGAAGAAAAAGGATGTGACACCAATGGCTCCCGAAAGAAAGACCCAAACTCCTTTCCTTTCTTCATCGCCAGGTCACTGGAGCAGCTTGTTCCACCTCTACCGTGGCTTCGGGGTCCAGCTGCTGCATGTGCACCTGCCCATGTCAAGCCGTCAAAGAGAAAGAAGCATGTACTCCTGCAACTCCAAACCCTGCTGGAGGCTGGCTGAATACCTCTATGTACTCCATAACACCTGGGTTTCGACCCACAACTGGCAGTGGGTTCTGTTCACAGAATCCCCATGAAGGACACCCAGTTCTGTTCACCAATCGTTTAAGGCATTGTTTTGATCCACACCCATGCTTAAAAAAGTGCCCAGGCACCCTTCTCTGAGTGCTTGTATTACTGTGTCTTTCGGTTCAAAAAACATGCTTTAGGCTTTAAACTTGATCGACCGCTTGGGATGTCCATGCGACGACGACTAGGAGTCGTCCATGCAGTCCTAGGACACCCCAAGTCATTGGGCCCGGGCTTGGAGGGAAGAAAAAGAAGTGACCTTTGCCACTCCCGAAAACTAACATGGACCCGGAGTCCGACTGTTTTCCTCGAGAAACCAGTTGTTTTCAGCCTCCAGCTGCATCCCTGTCGCAGGTCACTTCAGCCCGAACCTTGACCAGCTCGTCTAAGAATGCGTCCAGCTTTGACATGTTCCGCCGATGTTAACACAGGGTGTCCAGTGACCACCCAACAGCGCGCCGCTATCAAGTTCTCCCAAACACGCCAAGTACACCTTTTACTATACAGTCCACCGTTGTGTTGGTCATGCACCTTTGACCACCTAGGGTGTTCTTCTCATGACGAAGCTTTTGTGTTCACAGCCTGGAGAGCTGCTCAATTGCAAGAAAATGATACATACGGGAGCATTCAGTCTGCAAAATTTGTGATGTTGCTCCGGTATTCTCCAACTCCTCTGCCTCTGCATCACAGATCTCTCTTCCACCTCAAATGGTCTGTGAATCTTTTCAGATTTTTCGTGCTGAAAAGCACACGCTGCAGAAGGAACGGAACGACGTCAATCCAATGCCCAGCTACAATCAAAGAACATGCCCGGCTAGCTGCATCCGTGCCATTGGATTCATTTGATCTTCGGAGTGCTCCTAGTAGCGTCCTTACTCCTAGTAGCAATGCTAGGAGCCCCTAGTAGGGTCCTTGCTCCTAGTCTGTATTGCTTTCTTGCACAATGTCAGAGCATGACAATCCTTTTTCATCTTCTCTTCGCAAAATGTTGAGGGCGCTCGAGCGGTCGAGCAGCAATTGCAGGGTCAAAAACTACATGGTCTGCGAAAAGGATTCTCTTTCCAAATGCACTGTGGGACAAGTTCAAGGCATCTCTTTTCTTCTGATCTAATGTTCCATAACAAGACGTTCTGAGTACGAGGAAAGGGCACAATGTGTTCGCAGACGCCCTGCCTCTCAAAGGCTAGTCAGGACTCTTGGCAGACTAGGAGAAGGCAACCACTGTTGGTGGAGGCTCACCAAGTCACTCAAGGCAGTGAAAATCTCATGAAAACTGGTGCAAACGTGTAGAGTCCGAGGCGGCTTGCGTCGGTCCTCAACTGGGCAAAAGCTGGAGATCAGTGGAGATCACACCTTCAGGTGTCAACTGGGCAAGTACCTTGCATCGGTTAAATTCCATCAACAACCAGTGGCTGCCGATATTTGGGCCACTACAACCGCACGGCGGCCAACAATCTGGCGATATTCTCGTGGCGTGTGACAGTCGTCCCACTGTGAGACGCCTCAGAAGCCAACGATGCTATGTCTTGCACGGGCTGAAGCGTGCGTAGCCTCAACTGCCACCTCCGCCGTACTCAGTACTCACCGCGAGCCCTCAAAGTCCCACCACCATGCTGGGACTTGGACTGGACTCTGAACCATACTGGCGCCAGGCTCCCTGGCTAAGCCTTCAAGGAACTTCAAGGAGGGTTTTCGCGTTTTTCATTCCACCGTAAATCACCACAATTTCCAGCATGCTTCTGAGCAAATGCAAGCAGTCATCATCGGTGGGGGGTCTAAAGATTCGCAAATGCAATCAAAACAAAGCTCTTTTTGCATGAATCCCGGGCATTCCCCACCCCCGCCTTTCGGAGCGGCTTTTGATGTCCCTGGGCAGTGCCACCTTGCGTCCATTCTCCGTGTCGAATGAGACCTCCACCATTGCGTCCGTGGCATCCACCGCTGACAGGCCATCCAAATAGCTATCCAACAACTCAGCGGACTCCTTCTCCTGAGCAAACGGTTTGAGCTGTGGGAGCCGCATGGGCCATGTCACATGGGCCACAAAATCTGGACATGCCAGCAGTTCTGGTATTGTTCACTAATGACATTTGTGAAATGTCCATGAAGTATGCACAAAGGAGGGTTTCAAATGGGGAATAGGTCAAACTGAATTCATCACAAACAAAATCATTTCAATGACACCGAGCATCTGGAAATCCAAATGGCACTGAAATCGATGACATGGAGTCAGTGCGGTCAATATCTGAGCTGATGTCCGAATCAATCTCCAATGAATCAATCATCAGTTCATCCGGTTTGCTCGGAGCACTCAACTTGCCCAAGCGGGTCGCTGCCATGGCTGACTTGCAAGGCAGGTTCCCTTCCAAGTTCTGAATGGGTTCGAGCCCCTCAATGTTGAGGCCAACATGCGTTCCTGAAATGGCAGCCCAAAGTAGACACACAGTGGTGAGCCCTTCAAGACACAACAAATCGACTTGCTGCGGGTTGGTGGCAAGTGATGCCATCATCCTTGTGATGCCATCATGTCTATCCAGACAAATTTCCACTGTTGGACAGAACCCTTCTGGATTTGATCCTTTGACCGCGCTGAATGATCTCACGCTGGAGCATTCACTCCAACCACCGAAAACTCAATGAGTCAATGTCGCATCCACTGCTCGGGTGGCTCTAAAGTGTTTTTGCGAAAAACCTCTGCTTGCCATTGGCCATTTCCAACATCACTCTGGCAACGCAAGCAACTCACACCTTCCAACTTGTGATCGCGGGGCTGCCTGATGCTGACTTGCTGATCAAACAGATGCTGGTCGGATGATCCGTTGATCTGGTGCCCCGCTGATCTGAAAGACCGGTGATGGCTCGCGCTTGAGGGGGCGACAACTTTCACAAACAATGGAACCGACCCTTGCTACAACACTCTTTTTCCTCTGACTGATCCGAACATCTCCACACCCGACGTCAGTGTTCATTCGGTGATCGCGTCACCCGGAAAGAACAGAAAACGAGAAGATGGGAGTGCAAGAGTGGAGACCAGGTGGAAGACAAGAAAATAGGAAAAAACGAGTGGACCGGAGAGGACAAAAGAGACAAAAACCTGAAAAACCTACTACCTTATGTAAGTAGATTACAAACGTTTTAATCACAAAGCGAAAGCACGTGCAACTGAAAGTGTCCAGTTTAAACGCACTCAAATATGCACAAAACTATTCAAGAACCATTCACTCTCAAAAGCAACGAAGACTTCTGTTCACAAAACTTCCAAACATGGTACATTCCACAAGCTAAGCTTCCCAAAGCTCTCGAAACACTTCGAAACACAAAATTCCGTCAAGGAACGCATGCTCAAAACACTTGAAATGCAAAACCTCACAGCTACAGCTACTGCTACACAAAGCGCTTAAACATGGGCGCTGCTGTTGTTCTCAAAACAGTTGCTCTTCACAAAGTTCCTTGTAAACGGACCTCGCTATCAGTGTACTGCACCCATACACTTTCACACCCCCTTTCGAGGTGAAGTGTCAAGACCGCTCTGCGGCTCGGACCCTCCTCACGTCTGGTCTTCAAACATCTCTTGCAGAAGTAAAAACGAGACAACGCACGGCCCTTGGCATAGCAGCAGAATGGTGTCAGGTGCAAAACCGTTCTTTTCTCAGTTCGATAATACTCGTCGTGCATATCGAGCCAATCTGCGAACACAGGCGGGGTCCATTCATTCACCTCAACGCTCACATCCTTTGTTTGTTTTTGCGTCGCTATCTCCTCAACTTCAGCAAATTAAAGTTGACCCTCCAGATGGGCGCCCTTTGAGGTCACTCTGGCCAGTCCTCTTTTTGCATTTTTGAAATTGTGTTGATCATAGTGAATCATTGCTTAAGCATAAAGTTGTCACAAATAAGATCTAAGTGATTAGGAATTACTCAAATAAGAACACAAATATGATTAGACATGATTTTGAACAAAATTCACCAACGAGTAAAAATATGAGTATGAGTGAACCAAAAGTGTTTTCACGAGTGAAGCCACGAGTGAAGTTGCAGTGAACTTGCAGACAAAATGAAAGTTCAACATAGCCCTTTACGACAAGTCTAGCAACAAGTCAACTTACAAAACACAATGAAATAAGTACTAAGGACAAACGGTTCCTTTACGAGAATCGCTCCTCGCCTCGTTGAAAGTTTTTGAACTAGTAAGTTTTGGCTGAAGAGCTCTGTGCTGGCGGGGGTTGTGACAAAGTAAGGTGTTTGCAACTAGTCAAGTCTTGGCTCAAGGCATTGAAAAGTTTTTTGTGAAAGTAGTCAAGAAGCTTTAACTATGCTGGCAGGGATTGTAAGATTATTGAATAGTAGCTAGTAAGTAAGTAAACTTTTGCTGAACACTGTGCTGGCAGGGATTGTTACTGTAACAAGATGTTTGAATCTAGTCAAGTTTTTGCCGAAGAACACTGTGCTGAAAGTAAGTTTGTTGAAACTTTAACTAGACAGTTTTTGGCTGAAGAGCACTGCGCTGCCAGGGATTCCAACCCTTGCAAACAACATCAAACTCAGTCAAGCATGCAGTAGGGCGCGATTTTTAGTCTAGGTTAAAATTGAACAATACGTGACAAGACACTCAGCTCAATCAGCATCAACCTCATCAAACAAGTCATGGTCATCCATTGTTGATCTTCATGATAATTCACCTGGCAGGCACGATCGAAGTGCACTGCTATTCAGCTTACTGCGCTGCAAGTCTGAGTCCCATGACATGAAACCATAGCAATCAAAACATGACTGAGACTATCAAATAACTATCAAGGACTGTCACAGGTCGCAAACACCCTTTTTTAATGCCAACTTGCCCAACAACTGTGAACAACCTGAATCATAACTAATTCAGCAAAGCAGACATGGAACTTGCGCCCAGTCTCCATCGCAAAAACAAGTCTGCTAATTTGACATCCAAATGAAGAGTTTGGCACAGTGCCCTTCAGCTTCGACTCTGATTCATTGCTTCAAATCTGGGATCAAAGATCACGCAATAGGCTTGTCTATCAATACTTGGGAGAGCACGCAATTGGCGCCACTGGCGGCTGGCCGCCCAGACTCTTTCAATGCCAGGGCTTGACTCAGTGCCCCAATGTGATGATAACATATCGGAATCATCGGAATTCCAAGAAATGCAGCTTTTAGACTCAGAGTCATCATCGTCAGACAACTGCACTTTGCCAACAGCACTCGGTTCATCAGACAAGCCTTCATTGTAAACGATGTTGGTGGAACAGGAATTGAAGAAGTGAATCACCACCATGATGATTGCGAAAGCCACACTAAATGTCACCATGATTGCCATGGCTTCCATCATAAACAGCATGTTTGATTGCGCAAGTCTGAACGCTCAACTTGGCTGCTAAGATCAAATTACCATCACAACGTACACCTTGCAAAAGGATAAGTCACACGCGAATCAGTGCAGCAGCTCAACACATACTAAGGACAAGATTGAACGCTCAACTTGACTGCTAAGATCCAAATTCCATCAAAACGTGCACCTTGCAAAATGATAAATCAAATGCGAATTTTTAAGCATAGTGCAGCAGCTCAGCGCGTAACTTTTTTCACTTACAGCCACATTTCTTGTGTTTGCAGAATCCAACACACCCTTCTCATCAATCTTTGTGGATGATCCCTTGAAGGGCGCGCGTGTTGCCTAGTCACCCGAACTCATCATGAAACCAGAGCCACAAGAGAAACACCTCAGTCAAAGACAACTTGCTTGTGAAGCCAAGGCACCTCCAACTTCGTTGGTGTGGACCCAGCAAGTTGCTTTGTCTCGGGAACCAGGGCTTGGATCCTTTTTGAACTGACCAACATGTTTGCCACATGTCTCACATTTCACCGTCTCCCATGGAATGACTCCACCGTTGCGAAAGGACTAGCGGGCGGGGTCTTCGCTCGGGCTCAGCTCCGGCTTCAGGTCCAGAACCACCCCCAGAGTCTTAACTTTGGCGTCCCACTCAACGACCTTCTTGCCCTCGGTGGCGTAGTCAATGCCAAGGAGTCTGAAAAGCCCTTCTGCTGTTATGGCTGCACTGTTTGCGGTGTAGTCATCAATGAAACTAGTCCAACAAAGGCCCAGTCCACGAATTCCTACAAACCAAATAGCCATGGATACTCTCAAGAAGGCGCTCACCGAACCGACAGCCCCAAAGGGGAGGGAGTTGATGCCAAGAAACGAACTTGCTCGGAGACTGGGTCCCACACTGCGATTCTCAGCAAATCTCTGTCGCTAGGGCGCTGTTTGTAAGCGCTCTTCAAGCCGTAGATTTTCCCAACAACTTCTCGAAGGGCGTGCTCGAGATTTGTGAGACACCATGCTATATATGCAGGCATTTCGTCTACCGCGTGGACCTTTAGCTTTTCGCTAGATCCACAGGCGCCGTTGAAGCCCCCGACCGAGCAGTCATCGATGCGGCTGGTCTTTCTCCCTGTCTCAACCCGAACCGTTTGGCCAACAGCTGCTCCTCGGGATAGCACTCCTTGTCTAACCAAGCCCAACCCTTGTCTATCTCCTCCTGGGTCAACCGCCAAACTTCAGCTTCCAGTCCCGGGTTGTTCGGTTTGGCAACCTGCTTGCATATGCTATCGATCACCCCTTTGGCTAGCTTCCTGGCGGTCTCCAAGCTGTTAGAAGGCCTCTTCAATCTTGCGGGAAAAACATTCGACTTTTTGGGCTAACCCGAGAGTTTGAAACCACAGCAAATATCGTCAACTAGGTTTTTGTCAGGGTCGTCGAATTCACGAAGCATTTCCCCAGTATCAAGATGAAAGAGGCGCTTGCCCTTCAAAACCTCTTGCAAATGAGGCTCAAGCCCTGCACGCAGGCTCTCCTCTGCCTTCCTAAGCTCCTGGCTGCGCTTTGTCCACTTCGCTAGAAAAAGAGCCCTGGAGGGTGTGGCAATGGTTTCGGGCCTTTCTCCAATTGCTCTGCTGTCTTCTGTTTCTTTTGAAAAGAAGCCTTAGCGTCATGCAATTTTCTCTTCAAGAAAATACGCTGCGAATTCTCCTCGTCCGCTGGCTGTCAGTTCGATCTGCAGGCCACCAGGCTGTCACCCTTGCATCCTCCCTTCAAGTTGAAGGCCCAGCGTATGGCGTTGCCCTTGCCGTCTTTCTGGTCAAACTCCTTGAGCTCCTTTCGACACATGCTCTTGGCCTTGGCTGACACCCTAGGCTTCTTCGGACGCCTGTTGGGCGGAGGTGGCCTGTCTCCTGAACCCGTTGCCTTGTCCGTCTCCTTCGCGGCAGTCTTCGGAAAGGGTAACAAAAACATGGTCACTCTTGGGTCGGTGCGCAACTTCTTGAGCTTCTCCTCCATAGGAAATTTGCAAGTACTGTCAGGTTGTAGTGACTGTCGCAACTCCTGAGCCATGAGGGTCCACAGCCCTGGTTACCTGACTGGCACACACACGAGAAAATCTCCCTAGTGAGCTGACCCAAGGGTTGTTGCACCCAAATCTCACGCTCACCATGATGTCAACATTGGTCAAACGCCAGGCCCCACCTCTGCAAGGCCCACTGCAACTGCAAATCAGTTGACGCGTCCACCGAGATGTTGCTTTCCGCTGACGTCAACTTCACCATCTGCATGTTGCTCCAATGACAAAGTTACAGGCTTCTCTTTCAGGGAGTTTTGGATCCCTGAATCCCTCTTACTGCAATTTGCTTGGCGGTATCCAAAAAACACAACTCGTCTCCTTCATCTGTGCAAACAAGTCGATCAATGCGTACGATGGCTGAAGTTCACCTTTAATTCGAACCCCAGGCAATCTGGTCTCTTGGTCCTTCAATCTAGCGGCCTTTTCCGCTACCGGCAACTTCCGTGTCCCATCTCCTGTGGTGTCAGTTGCCTTTGATTTGAGCTCCGCCATGACGAGTGCTGATGCCTCAAAATGTAATCGTCTCAAACCTGCCAGCATCCCAAAACTCAGGTCGACCCCCGAGTTCAACTGCGTTGCAAAGTCCTTGAACTGATCCTCTGTGGGTGGTTGCTGGGGAGTTCCAGATGAGAAAGCTAGGGCGCTAAGGTTTCTGATACTATTGTTCTGCAATAGGGTATGCAGTGTTCCATCCGGTGAGGTCCTCTTACAGTGTTGCTCAAATGCAGCTTCGGAATCTGCCAAGCACATGGCTCTTTCCTGTCGCTCCGGCCTATCACTGGAAGATCAGATGAAACACTGCCAAACCCCTTATCATGTGCGACCTAGGTTTACCTAGTCCATTAAAATTTGCAAAGCATGTGTATGGGTTTTTCCAATGAATGCCAAAGCTACACCCTAAGTCCCTTGGAACTTAGAAGCTGTAGTCTTACCTCGTCAAATCGACCTATCATCTAGTCTGCTTGAACCCAAGTCACTGGTTGATTCCTCGACTTGACTTGCGCACCACAAAACCCAAGCCTCGCAAAGACCCAGACAAACCGTTAAGTTTGTTTGGGTCGTCCTGGGCCCTCGACAAATCAAACGAAAACTTCCACGCACAGAAAACGACGGGTTTTCGTAACTAAAGTTAAAGCTCCAACATTGGTTTGGTCCGTCTTTTTCCATCCGAGGCCCCCACGAATCGATCTGCATGACTTTCGCAGTCGAGTCCCTATGCGCCTCAACTCTTCTTCAATCTGAAAGCAAAACGGACAGACCCTTCGTGTCTACGAAAGCCCGCAGCGACCCTTCTTCCGCAAAGCAAAATGTTGTTGCGCTCTTGCCGCGACAAATGAAACATCTTCGAGTTATGGTTTAACCATAACCTCTTGTCAGATGGCAAGTCCACTAGGCGATGCCCCACCACTGGCGACAGCTTCTTCTCCTCGCTCGAGGAATCGCTGGGATCGGTCGTAATGTGTCCATTGTCCTCCTGTGGTTCAGGCTGTTCGACTTGCGCCACATGCGAAGCACCCTGATCGGTCGATTTGCTTGCCTCCAAATGTATTGCAGGTTCTGAGTCAATCTTGGCCCCGGACAATACACTAGCCAGCACATCTATGCTATCTAAAGGAACTGCACCTGATTTCAGCCTGCCACTCCTGCTGTTGTCAGGTTCAAAGATTCCAGTTCGAATCTCTTTCAACACTTGCGCAAGCGATGCTAATGGCCCAGCCGCCCAGCCACACTGTCTCTGCTGTAGGTAAGGCCCACGCGCATCTTGTTGGAGTGACACCCCAACATCAAACGATCTTGGAAGTTTGCTCCACGCTCTGCCAGGAAGGAACGACAGGTGCATTTGCAAGAATGACTTGTCAACTTCGCTGAACTGGACATTTTTGATCCAAGCAAATGCGCAATCCAACGCTTGGCCTCCGACGTTGAAAGCGGCCTCTTGGTGGGGTCCAAGTGTTTGTTCGGTGCGGGCATTAGGGGAAAAACCGAAACATCTCCAACGCCCAATTCACTTCTGACCTCAAGCCACTGCTCACCCCAGTTATCCTGGGTCACACCTGTTGCAGGTACAGCTAGAGGTAGGAACATAGCTGCAAACGCAATGCTCTTGCTGCTTTATGAACCGATGAACTGATTTCAACGTGACAGAGCGTCAACACTTCATGAAACACCCTCAGTTGCTCGACAGTGAAAGGATCAGCCTGCTTAGGGTTGACGATTCCTTTGGACGAAGCGGCCAAGACACCTCCTGCTCTCTGTAATGTTACTGGTGCGTCCCTCTGAGCTTCACACTTCAAGAATGAACAAAAATCTGCTTCACTGCATGGAAAAGACATTCCACTAGCAGCCAAAGTGTGTACTATTTTTGAAAAACTATTCACTCTTTTCATGAGCCTGAGGAGCCTTGTTGAAGAAGACATCAACCAGGGTTTGCGCCTTCTCCGAGAATGAGGCCTTTGTCTTTCAATGTTTGAATAAGCAAAGTTTTTTTCCACGAGCGCGGACGCCGTGTGGGCAGGGTGCCCAGGTCATCATTGAAGGGGAAGGAAACACGACATGATGAGGGGAGAAGAACAGAACAACCCCAAAACCAAACAAGAACCCACCAAACAAGAAACCAAAACACCACCAAGGGCCAGAGGCCAGTTCCTTCTCATCTAAAAGTGTTTCCTCTGTGCGAGGGTGAGACAATTGAATGAGCAAAACTGACTGTGTACTTTCTATGGGCCTGAATTCACAACGAAAGTTGGTCGGCGTCAGCGCAAGAGCGGAGTGCAGCGGAGCCAATCAAAGGGGCTTCGCCCCCACAAAACTGTGACCAAGAGGCCACTACATCGAGTGGCGAAAGTGATAATTGGGTGCTCGTAGGCACCTCGCCATGTTGTGCTTTTCCCTTTTTACGAACTGTTCGAAGCTGCGCGCAACCAAAAGCACGCCTTGCCGATGTAAAGCAGGGATGATGGAATGCAGACTTCTTGCAGCGAGGTGCATTTGAGAAAGGCTTCTTGCTCTATGATTCGCAAATTCTGGGGAAGACTGAGCTGTTGTAGCTGTGAGCAGTGCGCGAAAGTTGAGCCCAAAGTTCACTGACACGCGTTTGGGATAAATCCACAGTCTGGCAGCTCACGCACGCGGCCCATTAAAATCTGACGGCAGATGGAGTGTGACGATGCCTGCTTCCAGAAAGCAGCAGTCAGGCAGACTTCGGTTCAGATGTGTGGAGCCGCTCCCTTCCCAAGTCGAGGCGCTGCAGGGTCGTGCATTCTTGAAACACACGGGGCGGCAATTGTGCTTTGGGGGAGGAACAAATTGCCAGGGCACTAAGTTACCTTAGCACCGAAGTGTTAGCAGCCGCAGTCACTGCTCTTAAGACTCGGCATCGCTTGAAGGCACCATGCAGCAGGCTGACAACCGTGTCTGGCAGGTGGACCACATCTAGTCTGGGTGCGAGCCTTAGCTCGGGTCCGGCCATGTCAACACTCGCCCTTGATGCACCATACAATCCATATGTACATGCATTCTATAGGCTAAAGGAGTGGAGCTGGTCGAAACCACACAAACCTGCCGGGGGGCTCAAGCTTCAAGAGTGAGCATGCCAGTTGACACCCCGAGGCCCAGCCCTCGCTGCAGTAAAGAAGGAATGGTAGCACAGACTTGCACCTTCCTTAAACTGGCAGGAGAGAAGCTGCCCATCGAGGTGGATCCGAATGCACATACCGGCTTTCGGGGTTTTGAAAATGCTGTATTAGCAGAGCTCCCCGTTTGAAATGCAGTCCCTTGGATGTGAGTTGCAAATTTTGTGCACCAATCCTAGCAGAGAGCCAACCATTGCCACTGTGTGATTGCTCGGCCATGTTTTTCCCGAAAGCACCTGCGAAGGGTTTTTCCTTAAGCACTGCTGCCTATTTCATCTTCCTTAATCTCTTTCTCTTACTTCATCTTCCCCACTCTCTCTTCCTTACTCTCTTTCTCTTACTTCATCTTCCCCACTCTCTCTTCCGGACTCTCTTTATCCTACTTCACCTTCCTTACTTCATATTCTTTACTAACTTTCTCCTACCATCCTCACAACATCATCATCTAATCATCACCTCATAGGTTATAAATCTCATATCATATCATATTATATCATATCAGGTTATAATATCATATCACATCACATCAATGTCATAACATATCATATCATATCATGTTTTAATATCATATCACATCACATCAATGTCAGATCATATCATCTCATATCATGTGATAAAATAATATCATATCACAACATAACATATGAAGTAGAAGTATCAGATCAACAATATCAAAGTACATCAGAAGTAGATATTGATAGGTAGGTATTGATAAGTGGGTATAGACAGGTAGGTGTAGGTAGGTAGGTGTAGATAGGTAGGTGAAGATAGGTAGGTGAAGATAGGTAGGTGTAGACATCTTCCTTAAGACACCTACCCAACTTCACCTACCCAACTTCTTCTTTATTCTTCTCTTTAGGCGGCGGGGCGGTGCGAGCAGGTCTTACGAAACGCAACCCTCTCGTGGAATCGTGGCCATCGATCGCGCGCGCGCGTGGTGAGACGCGAATGGCGTTTGTCCGTGAGCAACCCTCTGCGGAGATCGTGCGCGTCGATCGCGCGAACGTGTGGTGAAACGTACATTTTTGGTGTGCGCGGTGCGTTCCGCCATTATAATTCTGGTGACAAGGTTTTGTCGATTTTGCGTTTCCCCATTGTAATTCTGGTTTCAAGGTTTGCCCTCGAGCAACCCTCTGCGGAGATCGTGCGTGTCGAGTGCACGAACGTGTGGTGAAACGTACATTTTGTCTGAGCGCGGCTGGGCGCACCATTATAATTCTGGTCACAAGGATGTCGCCAATGCGCGGTCCGGACCGCATACTCATTGGGAAATGCGATTCCAAGGTCTGTGCCCGGTCTGTGCCCGGATCGTTCCCCCATTATAGTTCTGGTCGCAATGATGTCGTGAATGTCACCTCTGA